ACGGCCAAATAAAGGAGCGCAAATTTTCGTATGGAGCGCACTCATGAGAGTTCCCAAGCCACAATGTGAAAATTTTGCCAGGCAACTTTAACGCCGGGTTGGGCAAAGAGTATATATTCGGCACTACTGCTGAAAAATTCACCTTCCGAAATGAAACATTCCCGAATGGGTTGAGGCTAATCAGCGTCGTGGGTTCTCAGAATATGGCCGATTCGTTCTTGCTTAGCAATATTACAATATTTTCACTCAGATTAAGATTCACAAATGCTTAGCTTGATTACTAAGAATCGAAAAAATGTTTAATATTAAATTGGATCAGTTTGAAATTTTTACCTGGTTTAGATTTTTCCATTGAGATATGTTTGCCGTGGTAAATTTCAAAATTTCATTTAAATAAATTAAAAGTAGTTAATTTTTAAGATATTTTTAATTATTTTATTTTAGCAACCATTTGTACAGATAAAATATTTACATTCAACCATTTTTTGTTGTTTTTGTTCTTATAAATTGCTTACTTATTTGTTAAGTGTGTACAATAATTCATATTAGCTAAGACTAGATTGTTTTTAGTTCTGCAATAATTGTTTATTATGTGACGTATGTTTTTTTTAATTATTTTTTTTTTCGTTATTATTTCATGTGTTTGTTTATTAAATTTTATTGCATTTTATTTTTTAACTTTTTCTGCTACAAATTTACTTGATATTTTTAACATAAAATTTAGTTTTTTATTAAAATAAATAAATCGTATACTTTACACAAGTTAACTTATAATTTAAAATAGTATTAAATATTTATTTATTTATTATTGTGTAAATGTAAAGGTTTTTGGGCAAGTTAGCAGCAAAAGGATTGGGTAACGCTTTGTGGATTTTCGGGTTCAGCTATAACAATAACAGAGTGCCCCTTTACGGTACAAGATTGAGGTTATGTTAATGAAGGAAATGTGTTTAATAGGATTTTAGCTATTGACATATAACAGCATTAATAATCTTAAAACACGCAATACTCATTTTGAAAAAAATTTTGCTAACGGCAGTTAGTTTTGAAAATATGTTGACGGCTTAGTTAAATCAAAGGTTTTAATGACGCATTGAACTTGTATTTTCAAATTTTCGTAAACCATTTTGTATTAGTTTTTTTTTTTAAACCAAAATGTATACAATATATTTTCTGATTTTTTTGATTTTATTCAATCGATTTTTTATTTTGCTTTGTTTTATTTTATTTATTTACCTTTTTTATTTTACCCATTTTTTAATTTGTTTTATTTTATTTTGTTTACTTTTATTTTATTTCTCTTGTTTTATAATAATTTATTGTATATTTATTTATTTTATTTTATTTTTCTCTAATTTATTCATATATTTTTAATAATTTTATTTAATTTGAGTTATGTTTTTTACTGAATTTTATTTGATTGTCTTTATTTTTAATTTATTTAACTTTATTTTATTTTATTTTTTTATATTACCTACTTTAGCTTGTATTATATTATTTTTTTCCTTTTTTTGTTTTATTTTTTATATGTTGTTTTTGTTCTTTATTTTATTTTATTTTATTTTATTTTATTTTATTTTATTTTATTTTATTTTTTTTATTTTATTTTATTTTATTTTATTTTATTTTATTTAGCTTGTATTATATTATTTTTTTCCTTTTTTTGTTTTATTTTTTATATGTTTTATTTTATTTTATTTTATTTTATTTTATTTTATTCTATTTTATTTTATTTTATTTTATTTTTTATTAAAATTATTTTATTTACTTTTTTGTTTTATGTTAATAATTTTGAATTCTTTTACGTCATCTTATGATATATTATTTAATTTTATTTTGGTTTATATTATTTTATTTTAACTTATTTTATTTTATTATATTTATTTTAGTATTTTATTTTATGTCATTTATTTTAATTCATTTCATTTCGCTTTATTTATTTTGTTTAATTTATTTTACTTGATTTTATTTAATTTTTTTGTTTTTTTTATTTTATTTTTTTATTTTAATATATTATATTTTGTTTTTTGTTATTACAAGTTTTTTTACAATATTTAATTTTAAATTAGTTTATTTTATTTCCTAAATACTTTTTTTAGATTTATTTTAGTTTATTTATTTCATTTATTTTTATTTATAAGGTTTTTTACTTTAGTTTGCTCTATATTTTGTTCTTTTATTTATTTATTTTTTAATTTTTTCAGGTTTCCTTTTTAAATAAATTTTATTTAATTTGTGTTATTATTTTTATTATTTAATTTTTATAATTGTTATTTTATTCAATTATATTTAATATATTTTAATTGAAATAATTCAATTTGCATTGGTATTTTTACTTTTATTGATATATTTTAATTACTATTGTAAGATTTATAAAATTTATTTTATGAAATTTTTTTAATTTAATTTTTTTCTAGTTTATTTTTATTTGCAAAAAAAATTGAAAATCGCGAAAATTAAAGCTGAAAAATAGAGCAAAAAAATCTTTCATCTGGTGTGGAATAAATAATGAGCTTTCGCTTAAAAACACCCTCTCTTACCAGCCAAATTAAAGAAATTTTTAAACGATGTTAAATTTTTTTATCAAAATATTTGTTTTTTATTGTACCAGAAATTGAGTTTATAATAAAATTGAAAATAGTTAGTTTAATTAACTGAAATTAATTATAATAACAAATTGTAAGTGAAATATTTAAACGAATGTAAATTTCATAGGCAGCATGAGTGAATAGATAGATCGATAACTGTGTTTTGTTCGATTACTTCAACATCGTGGTCAACGTCATCATCATCATCCAGTACTTCGATAACTTCAATTACGGATGGAGCAACAAATGCTTTTGAGGTATAATCGATGCTACCAATAATATTATCAGCAAAAATTTCTAATATCATCATAGTTTACGTTATAATGAGAATAATTAAGTACTCTATCAGTGCAGTTGCTATAATCAAGATCTCTGTAATACTCCTTCGACACATTTCTCGGGTGATGATTTGATGACACCTCGACACTCAGTACGCCATTTCGTCTGCTGCTGACTTGACCGGAGCCACAAACAAGACTTAAGGGCTGCAGATCTGTATCGTCGTCAGTTTCCCGACAACGTCTCAAAAAATGTTGACTGCCTGGAAGATTGCTTTCATAGTGTGCTGTTAGGTCAACATCACGCTCACTTTCGTTAACTAAATTCAAGGCTGTGTAAATAATTTGTGTTGTTGATGAATCCATTTTAAATTTATTTTAAAATTATTTATATTGAAGAAATAACTACAACACGTCCACTTTCTCAAACAGTTGAAGTGATCAACTGAAGTAAACAAGTCCTTGTATAGGAAAATACGGTGATCCTGGTTATCTATTCATTTCGAACAAAATTAGCCGCGATTTTCCAAGAAAAATTTAAGTACTTCTCTTACGGATAATGAGTGTGGGTTAAGTTGGGCGGGGCAAGTTTACAATATCTAACGTGGGCAACCCTGGCTTTTCCGATGTTACAGAAATTCAATTTCGGTAATACTTCAAATGAGTCAATTCAGTTAAATGTAGAAAAAAATAAACAAATAAAATAAAAAGGAAAACAATATAAAGTTAATCGAATTAAAATAAAATAAATTGAAAAAAAAAAATTAATTATTTTAATACAACATGTCTGTACATGTAAAATAAAATAAAAAATTAAATCAAAATTAAATTAACCTAAAAAATTACATAAAAAATTAATGAAAATAAAAGAAAATAAAACAAGATAAAAAAATATAATGATATATTTTAATATAAAATATATATAAGTAAAATAATATAAAATAAAAGGAAATGAATTGAAATTGAAGGAACCGATGTAAAGTATATTAAAGTAAAATATAATAAATCAAAATAAAATAAATAAACAAAAAAATAAATAAAAAAAAAATGCGTTGATAAAAGAAATTGAATTCAATAAAAATAAATTAAACAAATTACATAAACTAAATTTAATCAAAATTAAATAATATAATATAAATGAAATGAAATTAAAATAAATAAAATAGAAATAGTTAAAATAAAAAAAAAACATATTAATAGGAACTAAAATTAATTAAATTGGAATTAATTAAATCAGCATGAAATAAAATATATTAAACTAAACAAAATAAAATAAAACAATTTAAAATGAAACTAATTTAAATTATATTTAAAAAAAATAAATGAATTAATATAAAATAAAATAAAATAAAATAAAATAAAATAAGATAAAATAAAATAAAATAAAATAAAATAAAATAAAATAAAATAAAATAAAATAAAATAAAAATAAAAATAAGAAATTAAATTAAAATTAAGTTGAATCGATGATGATAATGAAGTGAATAAAAATAGTTATAATTTAGTTTAAACTTGAGTCTTTCACAGCGGCGCGTCCCCGTAGTCATAAAATAGAATTTGTAAATTTTTCAAAGAAGTAGATAATTAGTGATTAAACAATTAATTGATCAGACCTCTTAATTGAATCCTTATTAATTATTTCAAATATGAATGATAAAAAGTAATAAAATAAGTTATTAAATACGTTTGTACATACACAAGTATATGATGAAAATCCAAAAAGCGTTAATCATCATTTAGCTGCTTTTTACATTATCTTCACTTAACTAAAAAATTCAATTATAAAATTTTACAGAAAAAAGGCGCCAGTACTACCTTAGAAAAGGACGAGAAGACATTACCTTTCCTGGAATGAGGTAAACGATAGTAATTAACCCTTTTCTAATGCATTACTTGAAAGGTGAAGGGATAATTCGAGTTCTTTATTTCACTAAAATTCAATATTTTAAAATAAAAAACTATATTGAATGCATTAAAGGAACGAAAAAAAATCGTTTAGCTCAAAAAGAGAATAATGCATTTCATTTGTAATAGAGATACTCTGCTCTCATGAATTTCTCTGAAATTTCTTTGTCGTATTTCACATGCAATTGGTTACTATTTTAAATGAGTGTCCGCCTTCACAATTAAAAAAAATTGTTAAACACTAATTACTTCATTTGAGGCAAAAGTAGCTGTCAAAACCATCAAAAATAGTGACAAATTCCAACACTGGCTTGGTATATTAATTTCACAAATATTTTACTTACAAATAAATTTGTTTATATTTATATCTACAAAGTTTATATTTTTTTTTCGTATAATTTACTTAAATAAAATGTTTTCGTTGTTCTTTTGTTTAAATAATTTTGATTTTCCTGTATACACTTTAAAGAACCTCCGGCAGCACCTAACAATCCTATGTGGAGACGGTTGTCACTGTTGTCGTACCAGCACCGCCACTTCTTGCCTCAGGTGCCGCTGCCGCCGCCGCCGCCGCTGCTGCATTTTCACGCTCTTGTAACTCTTGTAATTCTTCTTCTTCGCGCGTCAGTGGCACCGTCGAATGATTGTAAAGTCCTTGTGCCATTAATTGCAGTGCTAAAGGATTCTTCGTGCCGCTAGACTTTTTCAGTTTCGCTCGCTTATTTTGAAACCAAATTTTTATTTGCGCTTCATTCAGACCCAACTCGGAGCTTAGTTGTTGGCGTCGTTTTTCCGTCAGGTAACGATTTTCCGTGAATTCATGCTGTGTGCGAGAGAGGGTAAAGAGAGAGAGAGAGAAATCGTAAAATTAACATCAGTAATTGGAAATTTATAATAGCAAAATTTATACAATATAATATACACACATATATATGTACATATACATATATATTATATACTAATGAAAGAGAATTTTTTACGATTCTTACGATCTTTTACTTAAACGATCGCAATAGTCGAGTGACTAGCATCATGTACTGCCATTCGGAAGACCAAAGTTCGAGTCCCGGTTCGACTGATAACCGAAATTACAGAATTCTAATGGCGATCGCCATTTGGCATGAAAATCCACCGCCCTTTCTAAGGCGGTTTAGAATAGACCATAGGTCCCTCAGTTTGTTGGAAAACACCAAGACACATCCCCGAATTGGAGGAGGTACTCGGTTGAAAATTCCTTCACAGATTCTTCGAGCATAATAGTGTTCTCCAGTCGGAGCCCTTACGTTGTTTCTAATGGATGTTTAGTTGGTTGGTTTGAAGGGTGAGGATCAAGTACTTGACAAATAAGTAGTATTAGTAGTAGTAAAGAGACTGTATACTTCTTCCACCCATGTGTCATCTCAATCGGCTAAAAACCATTTACTCGAATAGTAGTGCTTCTGCGATTCCGTCTCTTGTCTGCTGAAGCAATTGTCAAGAGAGTTCCTCCACCAATTTGGGTAAGTGCCTTGGTGTTTTCCAACAAACTGAGGGACCTATAGTTTATTCTAAGGCGATTCAGTCCATGGATTCAGGCTTTCGATTCAGGCCATGGATTCAGGCCTTCGATTCATGCCTTGGAGCATCTTAGACTTTGGCGCGGCCAACAGTTGAGTCGGCTTAAATCTATAGATTTCTTCATTTATATTAAAATTCAAGTTTATCCGGAAAAACCTTAGTTTGCCATACGTTGAAGCGCCTTCTGGGCTAATCAGGCCTATCGCTGAAGAATAAAATTTGGAGCCTGTACCGCTTTACCTATATGAGTGTGGTAGGTGCCCTAGTAAGCAGCAATGCTGACAAAAGGTTCGAGTTGAGTGTTTTCTTTAAATTCTGATGTGAATACTATATTGAGGGACTATATCTCAGATCCTTCGAAGACCAATTCGATGTATGAAGAACACTCGCTGTTACAGCGAGAAGGGTTTTATTCCACCTTACCTTTCTACCACTTACTCTTAACAGAATATATAGTTCTCTTAGGTATATACATATATATGTATATATAAATTTATTTACTCGTACACACTACATATTTATTTCATTTCATTACCTCCACAATTTCACTTCAAATGCAATGGAAATTAAATTTCATTGCTCAACCATAACTCACCTTCAAACGCGCCAATTGCGAGCCACTGAACGCCGTACGCGGTCGTTTATCCTCAGCTGTGGCAGCACTACTACCACCGCTTCCGCTACCACTCGAAACACCGCTGCCACCAGTACTCTTCTCACCGGTCAATTTCTTGGGCTTCCGTGTACGTGGACCTGAAAATACAGAAAGAGAGAGAAAAGCACAGAGAGGCATAATCAGTAAGGGCAGTCAAAAAACGGAAACCGAGAGAGAGGGAGAGAGAGAGGAGGATGAGGTGGAAAAAGGTGTAGTTGAGCATGACCACCGGTCTACGCAATGGCTAAATATGCACAGACAGCACAAGAAGTGCATTAAATTGAGCAGGACTTGCCGCACAATTACCGACAGGAGCATCAGTGAGCGTTAAACGCATGTGAGGAATAAACTTTGTACTAAATTTTATATGTCTATGGTTTGCATAAACCCATGCATATGTAATAGACGGCATCGTGTAGTTGTGTGTCTTGAGCCTCCACCGGAACATAAAAATTCCATTTGCCCAAATAAAATAGATGCGTGTAATTGCGCCACAATGACTGGACGCAATCGGTTTTGTTTTGCTTCTTTCATTCTCGGACACTACCTTGCGTTACGCCCCATTGCTCAGTCTGCAGTAACCACCACCAACCACTAACGGACTTCACTAACACCAAACCACACCAAGCCCTGCGATGTTTTCTGTCTTCTGTCTTCCATACACGACTGCGCTTCGCGTTTGCATAAATTTCCGTGGCATCCACGCACGAACTTGCAAACCAAGATTTATGAGGAGTTGAAAATTACACGCCACCAATGAATTGTAATTCACTAAAGTGGCGAAATTTGCTGCGGAACGTGTTTTCAGCGCGTATCCTTCGGTTTTGCTATTTCCTGTCGCAATTAATTCAAATGTTAAATAGTCAATGTTCAAGTTGTCTTTCTTCTTGTTTTACTTAATTTTCATTTTAAATAATTAAACTTTGTTTCTATTTGCTTTCTAACGTGTCATCACCGCTCCGCTAGGACTTTGAAACTAAGTTTTTGTCGAGTCATTAGAGTCCGCTTACCAGGAAGGCAATCAAAAATGATGATGACTAGCACCAAACAAGTGAAACTAATTTTGTACGAAAGGCAGGAGGGGTACTTAGAAAGTCTGTAGTACATATGAGTCCAACCAGGCAGGATTAAAGGGAAAGGAAAAAAGTTTAGCACCAAGGTAAGTCCATTGATCCATATATCTACTGGGATAGATAGCACGTCTTCCAGTCATAAAGTAACGAAAGACTCTAAAAGGAAAAGTGGTGCTTGGTGAGGTTGTGTGATCACGCAGAGCATGCCAATTTGAAAACCTGCCTTCGAGTTTCACTGAATCTATGTTTTCAAACATTAGAACATGTGGAAGGTTTCCAGTCCAAACTATCTGTTGGTACTAATCCTAGTCAGTATTTATAGAGAGAGGTTTATGTAAGTTCTTGGTCTCGTTCCTGTTGCTGTTTTTGCTCTAGGCGTCTCCTAACCATTCAATCGTGATTTTAATCATTAATCACATATCCACGTGATACAGCGTGAAGAACTCTCCTGAGTATGGTATAAAGAATTCCCTCTGGTCCTTGCAACGAATACTGCTATTGAAGTCGACCTTTGTTCGTGGAGGAAACATCTTTACCTTTGATTTCAGACTCTATGATTCTTAATCGCAAATAAGTCGGTATATAAGAGTATTTCCTATATCTTCTGATGAGGAATCACACCCAACGCACCTTCTGAAAACACGTTAACTCGTTTATGAAAAACTTTACTTTTCTTGACTATCCGCCTCGAAATCACATGTAACTTGATAAGCCAAGGTTTGAGTGTTTTCATTTCAGAACTCCCATCGTTGGAATAAAACGTAAGCTTTCGAATACTGCGAGGAAACTGCTGTCACTAGTGTAATCTGTTCCGCTCATCGTTCCATCGTCTGCGGTGTAGTCAATTCGTAAGGAATCATAAATCGTTCGCGAAACTTTTCTTTTAAGGAGTCCCAGTCATCGGATGATGACATCGTCTATGAGTGCTTTGTAGATTTTAAATTGGCTTGGAGTTTACTTTTCAATTGCTTACTTAGTCCAAAGTAACACACGCTAGCAAGAGTTATGTCCGAAACATCATGATATCGAACGGCTCGGAGAGGTCCTGACGGAGCTTTTGGTATTGTCCATCGTCAGTTTATATAGCCGTTTAAGTTTTGTAGGGTATTAAATTCAGACATATCAGCGTAGAGGCAGCTCTTTTTAGTGCTGTCGAAGGCTGCTTTAAAATTCACGAAAAGGGGTGTCGATCCACTTTCACGGGACTTGTTCCGAAATTTGGCGCATGGCGAATATCACGTTAATGCTTAATTGACAAGGTCTAAAGTCACACTGAATAATGTCAGCTTGTTGACGGTGGTGGGATTTAGGTTTTCACACAGAACGCTCTATAAAACCTTATATGCAATAGGTAAGGTTCTCATCACGAGACATGCTTTCATCCGTATTTGAATAGTTCTGTCAGAAGGCCATCAGTCGCAGTTGGGTAACGGAGCGTCTTACCCATCATTATCGATTGGGATTTCGGGTGTGCTCTCTCCGCGTGTTTTACTTTGATTGTCATGAAGCAGGCAGGAAAAGAGTTGCCTCCATAAATCTTTACCCAAGTTGTCCAGCTTCTCAAGTTTTTCACACTGACGTATTTGAGCCTCTTTCTTCTTTGATCTGAAAACACGTCTTACTTCCTTCTTCAGCTGTCGGTATCTATCACCGCACTTGTTGTGCTCGATTGTAATGTTGCAAGGTAAGCAGTCTGTTCTCACTCCACTACCGTTCGACATTCTTCTTCGTTTATTGGTACTGCCGAAAACTTAATGCTTCGGAAATGGTTGTATATAAGAAGTATGAAGGGCCGTATTTTCCTTGCCGCCCTTAAAAAATTCGATTTCCAATTAGTGCTTACTACTATTTGAAAAAGTCCGGGTAAGGTTAAACATATGAATATAAAGGCGTACATTTTTCAAATATTATTTGACAAAGCTTCAAAGGCCTTGGGCTTATCTGCGTAGACAAGCGATTTCACAGAACCCGCAAAAATAATTCCAGCCTTGTTAAATCTCACGATCTTGAAGGCCACGACACAGCCCCACGGTGTGAGAAAAAGCGCTCACCAAAAGTTTATTTGCATAAAACTGGTTGTTGCGTTTGCTGTATGGCATATAGAGAATTACTGTTGGTTCCAAGGTCGTACACCTCAACATGCTCTAATTCGACCGCGCAAAAGTCATTAATATTGGATCTATATCACTCCATATTGACTTTAACATTATAGCCGGCTTCATTTTTGTCGAAATTTTGGGCAATCTCCTCATGGAGCACCCCACTTTCCGAGGTTGTTAGCCTTTTCAACAATGACTTGTGAATTATCATCCTTCCAAATGCGAAAATTGTGTTTATTAACGTACCCATTCTACCAAAAGAGAGCTACATCGCTGCACAAAATTTTCTTGTGAAAATCGAGATCGGTTGCCGCATAGGTTCTAAGTCATTCAGTGAAAGTGTGGCGTTCGATGCTTGCTTAGCTTCAATTAATGGACGAGTTACCCCCAAAAACGGATGGATTCATTCGGATCATCTGCCACACTCTGCTCCACCGCAGGAATAGTTTCTTCACTGCGCACTTTATGGCGTTTGAATTACCGACTGCGTTGGACGATTATATCGGCCGAATTTTTGGCCGCAGTGCGTGTCGGTCTTAAGTATCCTTCATCTACTCTTTTGTCGCAATAAACCAAAAAATTTGTGACCATAACAGTTTCTATACAAATTAATTTACCGATTGTCATTGTCTGAAAATCGCGGAAACGGAAATTTTGTTTAAATTAAAATTGCATAAGAACTTAATTTGACAAAAATCAAATTTCCAGTGGCAAGTGAATTCTGTCAATCAAACAATCAGAGTTGCATTCAACCCCTTCCACCTCTCTCTCCCTCTTTCTCTCTCTCTCACCCTCTCTCTGCTGGTTGTTCAAAAGCAAGATGTTTTTCCTTTAATTAACAATTAAATGTTGACAACCATAACGAGCAAGCGTAGCAAAAGAGTTGAGAAAGGACACTTTCCACTTTCAAAATTAATGAGAAAAATAGCCTTTCCCCGGCAGGATAATGAAGGATTTAGCAGATTATGGAATGAATGGTGTTAATACATATTTGCAGAGGAATAAAAACCGACTTTTGGCAAAGTGAAGTAATAAAATTTTATTGCGCCGCAATGGTGGTCGCATTGTGAGAGGGAGAGAGTGAGAGTGTGAAAGAGAGAGTTCTGATAGGCAACCACAAAACTGCTGTAATGAAAATGCTTGCAGGACAACGATAAATACATTAAGAATTAATTGAGCCGCAAGAATTCAAATTTTTGCATGGCAACTGAAATCGGTAACTCAAAATGAATGCATATATGTGTGTGTGTGTGTGTTTATACAACCATAATTGTTATTGAATTCAAGCACGAGGCCTGCATGACAAACGCGCGCGATTTTCTTCAAATTAAACAAAGTTCTTGTATATTTGTATGTATAGGGTTATCCATTTCGTGGTTTCAAAAGTACACGACTGTAATTGGACAACTATTAAACGTAACTGTCAAATCAAACAGTAGGGGCGGATGTTTCCTGCCGGGAGGGTGACCGCAATTAGAAAATTTTACTCAGCTTTATTACAAAGTTAAAATAAATAAAAAATAATAATAAAAAAGGCAACGCATGTATTAAAATGTGTTTTGCATGCAATTTATTTACGTTTATTTTGGAAACCACAAAACAAATAACCCTATATGTATGTATATGTATGAATGTGTGTCTGTGTCCTTTAGCCTGCATTTAATTATTTTTTATTACTCTCTCTCAAAACATTGGCATATTAAAATGTTGACACTTAATTTTATTTTCGTCAGCACACGCACACACACACACACACACAAATATACGTAGGTATCAACTCTACAAAAAAAAGAAAAAGACTTTCAAGCAATAAGAAACCTTTTCGTGGAAAATGTCCAATATCAAATGAACTAAACGTTGGCGAGCGTGTTGAAGTGAAAGTTACTCCTTTATTTGAATAGTTTTGCGAAAATGAAGCAATTTCGACAGCCACTAATGGGCATTTCTGGGTTTTGAACTTTTCAACTGGCCGCCAAGCTGAGCCGAGCCCAATGTAAAGAGAAATGTAAATGTAGCATGAAAGGGTTAGTAATTATTGTGTGCCAGTGGAATGTGTGACTTCACATATTTTCCAAGAAACAACCGCTACAGTGACTAGTTTGCAATCGTTTTCCCCCCGCCCACTTGACCACAGAACAATCTTCTGGGGATGGAGAACCGCGACTCATACGTCTTGTCGTGTTTTTGAGTTATTAATGCCAACGAAGAAAATAGTTTTGTGAAATTGAGAAATATTTGCAACAACCACAAAACTACTTAATATATCATCGTCTTGAACTTAATATTGCTATTTGCATACAAATTCTCGAAATATTCGTAAAAGTCTTGTGAATTCTTGTTTCATTTAAAATGTTACTTCGAAAATGTTTTACGCATTTGCAAGCATATGCACGAGGGGATTGACAAAAGTTCGGTAAGATGACCAAAAAAAAAAAGAAGAAAAAAAAAAACGAATTCTTTTGTATTTACTCGCAATCTTTGTCCTTTTTATCTTATCTACATAATCGTCATTGAATTTAATGCATTTTTTAAGCCTAAAGATTTACTTCTGAAAAAAGTCTCCAAAATTTTGCTCTTTAAGCTTAACAAGTTCAGCGTTAACCGCATCAATTATCTCCTCGTTGCTATTAAAAAACTTTTCTTTCATTATTTTTTGGAAATATTCATAAATTACATGGGGCTATATCCGGAGAATAAGCCGCTGGACATATTCCTTCGGTCCCAGAGATCGCAATAAAATTAGTCGTTATTTCAGCAGTGTTGGATTTCGCGTTGCTATGATGTAAAAAGTGGCGCCGCAAATCCTCTTTCTTCTTGTTTTCCAACAAATTTTTGAAAACTTTTGAAAAGCACTCTTCGGTATACCATTTTGCCCTTACCCTCTGACTCTTTTCAAGTGGAAAGCAGCTACAATGTTAGATCGCCTGAAGTAAACTGGCATCATTACTTTACATGCTGATTTTCGTTGTTCAGATTTTACGGATGGGACTGCTGCTGTTGAGCTCCATACCATGGGCCGCTGTTTAGTTGCTGGATCACACTTATACAACTAAGATTCGTCACCAGTAATGACTTTACTGCAGTAAATACACTGACAACTTGCGAATTTGTTTAGGAAAATTTGGGCCAAACGCAATCTCTCTCTCTCATTAAAATTCATGGTACCCATCGAACAGATTTCTTCGTGTACATCAGATGATTACTTAATATCCGCCATATAGTCACGAAATTCAAGCCCAATTCATTTGCAATCATTTCTTGTGTCCATCGTCGATCTTTATTAATTTTTGACTGGATTGAAAAATTTGATTTTGAGAAAAACGCGTCTAAAGTTTTCATTTTACTCAGCGCACGCTCTGAGGGGCTGCAGCAAAATAAAAAGTTCAGCTATTCGAAATATTTTTGTTTCACTTTAAAATCAATTTCATACCATTTCTAGGACCCAAAGGTACCTTGTAAGAAAAAAATGCGTTTTCCAGAATCCTAGAGTATAATCTATTGTACAAATATGTAATTGGCAAGAAACCAAGAAAAGTTGCATTCCTTTGAATAACTCATATTAAAATAAATTTTTTTGGAAAATATATGAGATTAAAAATCTGATCGTGAAAACGGCAATTATCGTGAGCCAACTATTTAAAATATATACATATATTTAAAATAATAATATTAATATTTCAAGCTTTCAATTATTCCATAGCTCAGAGGACTGCACATACAGGTATTTATATCCTTTCGTTCGATCACTTTTTGTCATTTTGAAGGTAATGAATGTAATTATGCCACTCTCATAGTAACTCCTGGTCCTATTAACAAAAAATCGGCACAATCGATTATCACAAGCTCCTCTATAAGCCAAATCTTCACAAGCCAATTCATATGCCTTAGCCACGAACAGTTGGTAATCACTTGGAGTAAAGTCCGGACTATAAGTTGGATGAAAAAAACTTCCAAACCAAGTTGTCGGAACTTTAGCGAGTCACTATCGATGTCTGTAGTCTGGCGGTTTATGGATGAAACACAATTCTCCTCTTGTTAGCAAACGCTGCGCGCTTATGTGCATTTTGCTTCCTTCAGACGGTCCAATTGCTTACAGTACAGGTGCGAGATAAAAGTTTGGCTGGAGGGAACAGCTCGTAGTGGATGACTCGTAACTAATTCCAGCAAACACACAACAAAACCTTATTGGCCGTCAATACTGAGCTCGAGACGGTTTGTGTCGGCTCACTGCTCTTCGACCACGACCGTTTTCATTTGACTTTCCTGTAAGTAATCCACTTTTCATCACCAGTCATCAGCCCCTTCAGAAATGTGTTGATTTTGTTACAGTTTAACAGCGATTCGTAATAGAAATTCGGTCCTTGCAGTTTCTCCTCGTTAACTCACGTGAAATCCATACGTCTAGCAACTATTCTCTGCGCAATGTTTAGCTCCTGGACAATCGAGACAGTGCTCTCATGAGGGTATGACTCAACGATTCCCATTATTTATCGACATTTTCGACAAATGTTCTTCCACACTGTTTCCATCAGAATTGTCGAAACGAAATCGATGAAATCAAATTTGTGCATGTGCGTCATTTCTATTCCGGTAAAAACTATCAGGTGTACAACTTTGCTTCCGCCGTTTTCCGTTAGGTGGCTGTACCGGCTGAGGCTGGTTGAAATACATAGATGATATTGCCTTTAAAGTGAGTGTGGACAGTGCCTAACGAATTGTCATCGCCGTTTCAGTGACAGTTGTTCTTGTTTTCGTATTATTCACGCTCGAAAATGTCCTTTTATGTGCCTAATTCTCGCCATTTGCGGGAAGTTTTACTCTTCTGTTACAACTCGAAAAAAAATGCAGCTGAAGCGCATCGAATGCTTTCAGAAACTTACGGTGATGCTGCTCTGAGTGAAAGAACGTGTCGGTAGTGGTTTCAACGTTTTATAAATGGTGATTTCGAAGTCGAAGACTAACAAGGTTATGATTTCTATTTGATGGGATCAGCTCAGTGTGATTAACTACGAGTTCTTAAAACCGGGTAAAACCATCACAGGAGATCGCTACCGAACGCAACCGATGCGCCTTAGTCGCGCGCTAAAAGAAAAGCGGCCACAATATCAAGAGCGACATGACAAAGTCATCCTCCAACACGACAAAGCTCGGCCTCACGTCGCAAAAGTGGTCAAAAAGCACCTGGAAACGCTGAAATGGGAAGTCTTGAACCACCCGCCGTATTCCCCAGATGTCGCCCCTTCTGACTTCCACCTATTCCGTTCGATGGCACACGAACTGGCAGATCAACATTTTAAATCCTTCGAAGAATTGGAAAAATGGATTGCTTCATGGATAGCATCAAAAGAGGACTCCTTTTTTCGAGTCGTGATCCGAAAATTGCCGGAAAGATGGGAGAAGATTGTCGCTAGCGAAGGACAATACTTTGAATAATATATCTGTAAGCACTTTTTCCAAATAAAGCTTTTAATTTTGGAAAAAAACGGCGGAAGCAAAGTTGTACACCTGATAAATTCCATAATAATCCGACATTGTGTGTACTAATGAAGCTTTTTTATGTATGTAAACTCCTTGTTTGGTAAATATTTAAAATTTGAGATTTTTTTAAATAATCAATGCGTAAGTCTTAAATTAATTAAATTTTTTTAATACTTAAATAGCGACAAATTCCTTATGGCATCTCTCTTGAGTGTCCTAGTGGAGGTTTCACTGTATTCCAATGGACTTACCAACAACTATTTAGCCAGTGCAATTTCAAAATTTACAAAAATTTTAAATTATTCTTAAAGCATCATAGTCACCATCAACAACACGCAACAATTTACTTACTTCGTCCTGCAAAGAGAAAGAGAAAAGAAAAAAAACGTTAAAGTTGGCTTAAAATATCGATTAAAATTATAAAGTATAAAGGGAAATAAGAAAATGCCCAAGGCAAAGTGCCAATCAATAAAACGCCGAAAATTGATTAAATTCCACAGTAGCAACAATGAAAATATAATAAAAATGAGCGTGTCTATAAAAACATGTTCGACGCCTCCGTATGCAGGCGAAGTCAAAGATAAACTCAGCATAAAGTTTTCACACCAAAACACCGCCGCCCTCGCCAAACGCCAGCGCTTGCACAAACTCACTCGCATACCTTAAAAATCAGGAAGACAGCGAGTAGACGTGCAAAAATGCCGAAATTACACAGTTTTCTTATCGTACAACAAAAAAAAAAACAAAAACTACATGGCGAGCAGTCACTTCGGCAGTACGACCGACCTTTAGAGACTGACGGCAGGCAACGGAGCAACGGAGCAACAAACAAATTAAATTAATATCCTTTAAGTTTTGCTTGTTGTTGTAGTGTTGTAGTGTTGTAGTGTGTGGCTGGCATGGAATCAAACCTTTAAAGGAAATGTACTGTTACTAATGCCAATTTCAGCGAGTTTAATCGTTGGAAAAATTGAACAAATCAATTTTGTCGCCAAAGCAGCAGCAAGATGAACAACAACAGCAGCAACAACAGTAAGCTGTAGAAACGACAAATCAAAATACAATAACAAAGATTTATAAAGAATTTAGATTTCACTTTTTTATTATTTATGTATATACAATACAAGTGTTTGTATGTAAAATAACAAATAAGTTTATCTGGCAGTCCACCAGTTTTAAAGAAGAAAAATTAAATCAAATAAAAAATGTGCGACGTGCCAAATAAAAAAAAAAAAACGGGGAAAAAAATGTAGTGAACACGTGTTCGCAGCACCGCCAGTCACAATAGCAACACCCACATACATATATGTGCACACCCCTGCTGTATCGTATCAACGAACATATGTTCACTCCGCGACCAACGACGCCGCCGCCGTTGCTGGTGCCCACTCTCCGGAACAACGGTGTTATCACGTTTTAAATTTCACACTCGCGCTTTCGTGTTGACAGCGAAAAATAAGAGATTTAAATCGTAACCAAGACTGTGGTGGCAGGTGGAGGTGGTTTATGGTAGCAGAGTGTGAACTTTGAACCCGTTGGAGAAATGCACGAATTGCAAGCAAACCAAAATAGAGCAAAAGTGTTGAGGAAAATGTAAAAAAAAAAAATTATTTTAAATTTAATTTAAATCTGGGCGGTTCTCAAGTCCCAACTGCGAAGAAGAGAGAGTTTGCAGTATTTTGCTACACAATTACCGTTAGTTAGCGATTATGTGATAAGCAAGTAGTTTGTTAAGTTTACCCGAGGCGCTTCGTATGTTTGGAGAGATTTTAAGCAAAATTCGCATTTCATGAAAAAAAATTTAATGTAAATGTGCATGGTTAGTATTGCGTACTGCCATTCGGAAGGCTCGGGTTCAGATCTTGGTGTCGCACTAACAGCCAGAAAGTTATAGAAAATTAATTTGTATTGAAAATAAAGTTCAGTTTTCTTATTGCGGTCGCCTCTTGGCAGAATTGTCAAGCCCTCCGAGTGTATTTCTGACATTTCATCATTCCCGTCCTGATATATGGTGCGGAAGCATGAATGAAGGCAACATCTGATGAGACGGAATTGGCTATGGCGAATAAGGCAGACGATGGGACGATGAGCTGTACGAGTTATACGGCTACATTGACATAGTTCAGTTCTTCAAGAAGCAGCGGCTACGCTGGCCAGGTCATGTGGTCCGGCTGGATGCGAATACTCCAGCTTTGAAAATTTTCGCTATAGTACCCGCCGGTGATAGCAGAGGATGAGGAAGACCTTTACTCCGTTGGAAAGACCAGGTGGAGAAGGACCTGGCTGTATTTTGTTTTTCCAATTGGCGCCAAACAGCAAAAAGAAGAAACGAATGGTAAAACGTTTCTCGGCTCGAAAAACAAGGTCGATCGGTCATTTCGACAAACGAAATTTCACTCTTTTTTGGCATTTTCCATGACATTTGCCAGCATCTCGGGAGGTCCCAACTATTTCAGCTCGAATGTTGTTCTTCAGCTGACCACCATGCTAGATGCACCAAGAAGTTCGATGTATGGGTGCCACATGAGCTAACGAGAAACAACTGCATGGACCGAATTTCGGGGATATATGAGAGGTGGTTGGAGAGTGTGTAAGGGTTGCTAGACGAATGGGTGCCAGCCGAAATGTTGATTTCCTTCAGAAAGGTTTGTGCAGGAGCCTATAAGTGTGGGGAAAATGTATCAGACGCCATCTTCCAGCAACATAATGACTTCCACTGTTTCTAAAGCTTAGCTTCAAAACAACAGCATAAGCACGTGCCGAACCGAGCCGTGTAAGTAATTTTCTCGAGCTCGGATATGTTGCTACGGCATTTTGGGTTGAGTGAGTATTGGAAAAAAATAATGAAGGTGTGATAACGTCTCATCTCGGGAGTGGCGTGGCAATTACATTCTGTTGTTCTCATATTGATGATCATTCTGAAACTAGTTCTTGTCATGTCGAATTGCGATTTGGTTATGATTAAACTCGAATAGGTACGAATGAATACTCCAATCGGGTGAATCGAGGGAATATTATCTACTATAGAATCAGAGAGATCAGATGAAAAATATTTTTGCTCTACAATTTTTCTCTTTCAAAAACTTCTTCCATACCTGCTAAAGCCAGCTTTCAAAAATATTTTTGAATATGCATAGATATGTATGTATATACATATATATATATGCTTGATACGTACATATGCAAGTATTCATCATTCAACTGCGAATTAAGTTCGCATGTTCGTAAGCATTTTGGCTACCGTAAAACGATTTTATGGTAAGAATGATTAGCTTAAATCGTACCAAAGTGGACTGAACAGCCGCCACACAAAGGAGCGCGCAATAAGACAATTTCATTTCAGCTGCAAGCAACAATTAGTAACAGTAGACAGCAGATATGTGTATGCACATACATATGTAGTCATACTCAAAGGCAAATAGACAGATTAACAGACGTCCTTGTTTGTATGACCGCATGTACACGTATATATATGTATGTATGCATGCATAGTACAGCAGTCAAGCCGAGTATTCTACAGTTGAACGCAATTCATCCAAAAAGCGCGCATTGAGTCTGCATTGCACAACTGCATACATAAGTAAGTAATCACAGATGTATGTAAGTATATACTCGTATATTAACTCGTATGCCACTCCAAGTCTGCCGTTGTCAGCGATCGCGCACTCATAAAGATCTCAACACGCCAGACCACACAGGCGACACAGTTGCGCTGTCGCCACCACTGGTACGCCGCAGCCCCGTCATCTCCCTCATCAGCGCCAGCATCACGGCCGCTTATAACTTTGCGGCACTTTTCTTTTCTTCTCCATTCGAAGTCGGCCGTGTGTACAGCGCGGAAGCCAACCGCGTACTCAATAGCTCTAATACAATGACCATATGTGCATGTGCTCGATCACTTTGGTGTCATTTGGGAGCGTAGTGTGTAGCTTGAAATAGAGAGGCGCGCCTTCCTTGCGCTTAGCTTTCAATACAAGGCAGCCGAGCAGGCGTTGCAGCCGGCTTTTATGTTTGCAGTCAGTTAACTCTACGCTCCAATTAAGCACAGCAACGTTTAAGCAACTTTAGGTAAATTTGCTGCACTAAGAGAGTAATCGATCGTTTTTTCTCGTTTTTTCTCGTTTTTTTTTCATTTCTATTCTGTTATTTATGGAGACGACGACCATAAAATCAACTTATATGATCTGTTGGCACAACCCAAGAAGGTGAACATCACAATCATGAATCGATCGGTGTTTACTATGAGTACTACTAGCTAGTAGCAGTAGACATAGACATATATATATGTATGTACATATATTTTTAGAAGCGTCTTATGGGAGTCTGGCAGTTATGTAGAGCGTTTGTGAGTGAAATACAACAAAAGAAATTAAATTAAGCTCAATTTAATGACTTTTTCTATATGAAATGTATGTAGATCCCATAATAAGATGACCTGATTTGTCCAAGAGAAGACCTTAGCTAGACATAGGCAGTCCCAGGCGTGAACTGGTGTACTCACCAGAGACTCCGTCAACTAAATCAGGCTTATCGGGAAAGAAAGCTATAGAGAGCATTATTTAGCCAGCTTTGAACAAAGCCGCTTGACACTCAGTTTATAAGCTGCGATCCGGTGCATTTTAACTTTCGTATTTGCTGCTACTTCTGTTTGAAGCACCTCAGAGAGCCTAAACCGGTATTCATTCCGAGTTGACAAAGACAAATATTGACGCCAATCACCGTTCAAACTGCTATAACTCTAAGGCAGAGCTCTGATCCTTAACGATACGGACTAAAGTAAATGCCGAGTTAATCATGAAGTTATTCAACATTCGAGATAAGAAGCAGAGGTGAATGATACATGGTTCAAAAATTTGTTTACGGTTGTTATAGCTTCTGAACTTCCTTACAGCGATCTGCATGATTAATGAAGTTAATTGTTCGACTCTCGAAGATATATATATTTTTTTTTGAGTAATCAAGCATCTCTAAGCATGATTACGGCGAACTATATTGCTTTTAAATTAGATCCACCTTCCATACGCGATCAACCTGCTGAACCAGTTGATGATTATAGAGAAATTTAAGTGTTATTACCAGTATATTGAGTGATTAGGCTTCAAGGGTTACATATGTCTTCAAGAGTCAATGAGTCCCCAATTATCACATCATTCATTGGGGTGTTTTAAGTCAACCCTCCTGGTCGTGCACTCCCCTTCTAGTCACTTTGGTTAATTAATTAGGAATCTACCTAGAATCAATCGATCATATTTTGCCCATTCAAGCGGGTTTTAATCATCAAAGATGCTCAGACTTTTTTTCATCACCTCAAACTATAGTTAATCTGGCAATCTGTGGGAGGAGTAAAACACGTCTGT